ACGGAAGAATTATCCGATTGTCAACCCGAGTCGAAATTTTGGCCCTATGTTGAACCTTTAATTCTATTATATAGTAGGACCTAAGGCAGCAAAAGAGGTCCAACTGCAAGAACAAATTTTACTCCTACTTTAAACCTGATAGTGTCAGAAATTTCTACTTTTGCCAATTTAGCTTTAAAGTAGGTCCTTTTAAGTAGGAACTGAAGTAGCATGGTAGGTTCAAATTAAACCTCTATTGAACCTATATCTCCTGCACGTTTGTTTATAAAATTATATACAGGGTGAGGAAAAAGTATGGAAACCCCTAAATAATTCGGAAACTACGCATTTTATAAAGAAATGTTTCAAACACAAGTTGTAAGGTTGAAAAAAAGTCTATTTACTTATCTTATCAGTTTGGCTTCACATGGCGTAAATGCGTAGTGTCCAAGATATTTAGGGGTTTCCACACTTTTTCCTCACCTTGTATAATAATAAGTAAATATACAACACATTAAAGCGTTGTAAAATGTAATTTTTTATTTAGAACAAGAAAATATTTGTAAGTTAATTTAACAGTTTTCAAATAAGATATAAATTAAAAAATTTAATATTTACAAATCCGTTGTCATTCCGTTGTCAATCCGTTGTCATTGACAACCATCAACCAATTAAGATTTATGGACAAAACCGTGTAGGAGAAGTAGGTTTAATAGAGGTCTTATTTGAACCTACCGTTCCACTAAAAACCTACATTAATTGGACCTACATTAATGATTAAAATATCGAGAGAATTTTGAGGTTCAAAGTATCACTAGGGCAAAAGTTGTAGAATTAAAGGTTCAAAGGAGGAGTAAAAGAATATAATATCATCAAAGTAGGTTATTGCTGGTCTATGTAGGTTATAGATCAGCTAAGTAGGTGTAAATTATCCTTAAAAGTATCAAAGTAGGACCAAAATTTCGACTCGGGAATGAGCTTCGGTTGTGAGTATCTCACTGTTGAGTGAGAAATTATAATAATGGTGTAATGTTACTGCATATTAGATGTGTACATACATTGGGTAAATATTTTGTAATTCTCTTTGTTCTAACACTATTCCCCTTGAATTCATAAAGTTTACATTTATTGAATTCGAGATGAATACTTTAAGAAGTTGTCAGGAAAACGATTTATGGTGCATGTAACTTCCTCTTTCACTCTTATTGTATTCTTCTATGAATTCCTAAAGAATTACAATTGAGAAAAAAGAAAACTTAAAGAATACTTTGTGAATTCAGTGTGCTATCTGGGATTTCTCACTGGGCAGTTATTGTGTTACCGCAAGACAAAGATTTAAAACATAAAACATTGTCTTAAGAGTATAAGACAGCCTTAAGACATATAAGAACGGACTATGACTACCGGCCTTAGTGTCATTTGGCGTATGGTACACGTGGTATGTGTGTTGCTCACTATTAATTTTTATTAGACTTACAAACTTAGGCCGGTATTCATGGTCGATTCTTATTTCAATATCATCTTAAGCGTTGTCTTAAGACGCTAATACGGCTCTGTGATTGGTTGAAAACACATTAAGAGTATACTTAAGATGATCTTAAATATAAGAACGGACTATGAATACCGGCCTTAGTTTTAGTGATGCCATATTGTTCTTTAATTTAGCCGGAATAGCAAGCTGCTTTCGATCTATGTATACACGTGAGCCATTTAATTTGTATTGTATATTACACAAATGTTTCCACGAAACAGACAGTTTTACGTGCAAAAGGTGCAAAAGTGCAGAATCACTCCAGCATCCCTTAACCAATCATACTGAGCGCTCACTCAACCGTTGTGTCTGCTGAACGCGGCCATTGCGGTTGAATGCAGGAAGAACCTTGTACCTTTACACTATGTGTTTAACGGTAGCGGTCGCAGTCCTCCCCGTACGCAGGAGTTCACACGGTAGAAACTATAACACCCTCGAAAAGTGCGACACGTGGTGCCTCGTGTATAATTAACGAGCCACACGGTAGGCGCGTTACGCAAGGGGGTGAAATCAATCTCCGTTCGACGATCGGCGCCCCGCAAATATTGACAGATCGTCACGGCCGAGTTTCTCCGCGAGCGGGACTATTATAATATAGATTAGGCATCGATCGGCTTTGATAGAAATTGCGAAATTCCTTTGTGAATACCGCGGCCGTCGGAGTCGCGCGGGAGGGGGGGGAAGGGGGGCACGCGCGATCGACTTCGTTATCGTGAGCGCATTTGTGTCGCGGTATAATCCAGTGTCTTTAATGTAAGACTCGGTAAGTAGAAGCTCGCCCTTGGTGAAGGCCGGATCGAGTCCTAAATAAAGTATGAACGTTCTGCGAAACGTCCACATGTTACGCTCGCCGGACAATCGCGGCTTTCGCGCCGCGAGATCGACGGGGGGGGGGGGGGGGGGGGGTCCTTCGCTTCCTCTCGCCACCTGCCGTTCAAGGTCGAGTCTTCGCATCGCGACCCTCGCCTGGATCCGCCTTCTCGCGTTGAAGAAAAGCTCGGCGCGTTACGTAAGTTTCTGAAAGCGAGCTTTTTACTTGAGACGCGCAAAGTAGCCGCTATCTCCTTCAGGGCCAATTCCGATAAATTAGCGTACTAAACGGGGAACGTAAGATTGGCAAATGTGTTTGCAGGCGTTTAAGAGAGATTCAAATTATAAGATTCTACCGAGATAAGATTAATAACTTGGACTTTACGCGAGCGATCATTTCTCGCTCCGGAAATGACCGGAGCGCCTTGAAAATTGAAAGCGTTCGAGGATAAATTCGGGATTAACAGGTGGAGGAAAGTCACCTATTATTAGACAGGCTCCTAATACGAGACAGCGGGGTTTCTACTAAATTAATAGGCATCATCTGTTGGTTCCAGCATGAATTAATTGCGCCTGCAGTGAAATCTGTTTAGTGGAAAATTCATTGTTAGATTGTGTAATCGCCGGGAGAGAAGATTGTGATTGACTTGGGATGTTAAAAACCTGCTATCTCGTGGTTAGAAGCCTGTCTCATAATAGGGGACTTTCCTCTAGACCGAGAAATCGTCCAAATTGTAAAATCGATATGGGTGAATAATACATGACGTTATTAACGATTTCCGATACCTACGGGACATATCGTCCTTGTAACTACAAAAGGCTTCATTAAATGACCTTACAGTGCTGGAGTTTAATCTCGTAATTCTCTCGAGCACGTAAACACAAATGCGCGCGAGGTCTCGGGTTTCGGTGCCCGTTCGCGCAGATCAGCGAGTTAGATGTGGAGGTGCAAACTTGTGCGACGAAATACAAATTATCGATAAGAAAAACGAATCGACATCTCCATGTTCTTGCGGTTTGCCGGAAGAGAGATTACGGGATAAAAACGCGACGTCGAGAATGAGCTTTCGCGATAAACGACAGTCCAGCCGTTTAAACTTGATCTACAATGTGCCCTTTTTGTGTCTAGAAACATTCTATTTCATATAAACAAATCGAAACGCTTATAAAATTTGTCGACGATCGCGATGCACGATTGTACAGTGCATAATAGATAATTTATCTATCCGCGCAATTTTTTAAACCGCATTTATCGAATACAAAATAGAATGTTTCTAGACGCAAAGAGCAGATTGAATATAGAGGCTTCAAGCCTGATCTACAATGTGCTCTTTGCGCCTAGAAATATTCTATTTCATATAAACAAATCGAAACGCTTATAAAATTTGTCGACGATGCACGATTGTACAGTGCATAATATACAGTTTATCCACCCGCGCAATTTTTTAAACCGCATTTATCGAATACAAAATAGAATGTTTCTAGAC